TTGCAGTGTATCTTTGCAGCCTCTTTGCTTAAAGCTATAGCATCCTTATTGGTCTGGATCTCCTTTTAGCTAGGATTAGCATAGGGAGCGTTGGATAGATTAGGCTAGAGGTAGGTTAGGCATCCGACGGCCACTTAGACAGATAGAGGCCCGGTTGCAGTGACAGCCCAGTTTAGGGATAGGGACTAAGAGTAAGGATAGATAGGGCATTTTATCCTTTTAGGTGATGCATCGCTGATCTTCAGACAAGCAGTGCAATCATCCGCATGTTACTTGGACGCCATCTAAAGTGGAAGCGTGCATCTTATTGACTCTCACCTCTCCAGGGGCCCCTGCAACCGGACAGCGCTATAACCCATGGTTGGAGGTATTCTGTATACTACATGCACATATACCCGGGTATAATTGCAACCTCCCAATTTATGCTAAATTGTAATTCCTGAATGTTATTCTTATGCATCCTGTTTTATGTGGCTGCTTTATATAAACTTTGCATTAATCTCATACAGGTGTGGTGACATGTTTTCATGTTAGAAATATAAGCTGGGTGCATTAATACTGCTATGTATAGTTACTTTAAGTTGTCTACATGTTACATTCCTAGAAAGGGGTGAGTCTCCTCAATTGCAGGATCCCTATTCTAGGTGGAGGCACTGCCATTTGTATTATCACAACCCCCTCTTCCATATAGCGAAGGCTCAGGATTGCCTACTCATATACAGGTTAGCGCCATAGCTTGTTTGGTGTGGGCCATTTCACATAACCCGCCCCCAAAACAGGGCTACACTAGTTTCTTGCCAACTAGCAAAAGGGGATGTTATAGATATGGACACAGCAGATGCCAATGTTGCCTATCAATTACATATGACAACCTCATTTACATCAACAGCCAATACCAAAACCTGAGAGATTGAATCCTTCATGAATTGTAGTACATGTTATGTTGTCTATATTATTTACATGTCATTTGCCCACAGTGCATTTACTGAAGGTGGGTGGCACAGGCATGTACATGTACTTGATCCAGTCTGCTCTGAGTTATGGGCGCACAATGCACCACTACCGCTGGATTTCAGCTCTGAGGCAGCTTGCTGCTTTGAGCAGCCTGGGGATCATACAATCACGATGTGATCACAATGCCAACAAAGCTGTTATGAATGAATGTCATTCATAACAGCTCTGCTTTCTATAGAGTAGTGTTGTGATTGGGCCACAGCTGTCACATGGTACCTGGACCAATCACAGTATCCTGTACTTTTGTGATTAGCTGTAGCCAATCACAGATTACTAGTAATCACAGCTGTTATGAATATAACCCATCCATGACAATTCAAACCATTGCTGTTACAACGGTCTTTCAGCGGTGATCAAGGTTAATGGATCCCTCTCTCAATTCTTTAAAATGTATAATGGTACCAGACAAGGATGTCAGCTCTCTCCTTTGTTATTTGTACGATCCTTGGAACCTGTCCTGGCGAGGCTAAGAAAGTGTATAGATATAGCAGGAATAAAAATAGGGGAAGTGGAACATAAGGTGGCAGCATATGCGGAAGACATGTTTTACATCGCAAATCCTAGAATAACGTTGCCTAACTTAATGAGATTGTTAAATCAGTATGGCGAGCTGTCAAATTTGAAAATAAATCCTGCAAAATCAGAGATTTTAAACATCAATTTATCAAAATCAGAGGAGCTGAGTCTTCAAAAAGAGTTCCCATTCACTTGGAGGGGAAAGGAAATAGGCTATCTGGGATTAAAATTAACTCCTTCAATAAAAGGCCTATATCAGGCAAATTAAATCTCATTAATAAACAAAATAAAGGACAAGCTGAGGAGACTGTCAAAATGTGGAGCTTCTTGGATAGGTCGTAAATCTGGTAAAGATGGTGATAGTTCCAAAAAATCTGTATAAGTTTCATATGCTACCAGTACAACCTCCGGGATCTTTTTTTGGGATAATTAAGAAGTTGATACTCAAGTTTATTTGGGCAAATAAAAAAACGAGAATTAATTATGAGGTATTGTGTAGGGCAAAAGGAAATGGGGGCCTGGGTTTGCCCAATATGAAATATTACTTATCAGTGATACTATCACATATAATGGATGGACATTTAATGCACAAGGGAAAGGTTGGGTAAATATGGAAGGGATTTTGAGTAGGGCACAGTTAGGGAAGATGGTGTGGATACCACATAATATTTGCACATTACATGTGAATATTAGTTCACTGAAAAGATTTGGGATAGGCTGTATAAGCAAAAAGGATGGAGGGGAATGGAGTATTACCCCCCAGGGAAGGATAACATTTCTGGGAAATGGCTTAAAGATAAAACTGCAGGTTTGAAGGATATATTGAACAAAGGGAAATTGCACAATTTTTTAGATTTAAAGAAGAGAGATGACTTATTTTTCACATTTTATGAGTGGCGGTATTGTCAATTAAGTCACTTTATAAATATATCGAGATAATAAATGGCAAGCACTGTGTATAGCAAAAAGCAGCTAGCACAAGAGACAATGACAATAAATCTCACAGTAACATATGTGTATAAAGTGCAGCGTTAAATCATATAGTAAAACATCCAAGACTTTACACATAAGTGCAAACAAAGCATAAACATCAGTGAAACAATAAATGAATAAAGTCCATACAGTGTAAAATATAAGTGCTAGTATAAATGAAAAAAAAAGTGACAAAATATAGTCCATATATGTGTCAGTGGTACTGCAAGACACAAAACAGCAACGTGTCCAACTCCAAAACAGTGCCAAGGGATCCAGTGAACACTCCACCACCACTATGCACTCACCAGAATGCTACTGGTATAGTAGCAATGATCGATGGTCAAGTCAGATGCAATATTCACAGTCCTTAGCCAGAGATCCTCCTTGCTTGTTAAATGTTTAAAGCATTTTTCAAGGTTACCGTCTGGAAGGAATGTGGACTGCGTAATCGAATACATAGTAAAAGATCACCAACTCTCTTCGTTCCTCTCTTGGGTCCCCCTTCCTCTCTCCAGTCCTCAGTCCTCTCCCTGGTCCTCCTTCCTCTCTCCCACTGCTGTGGAAGGAGGACCGGGGAGAGGACTGAGGATTGGAGAGAGGATGGAGAACCAGAGAGAGGAAGGAGGACCGGGAAGCGGACTGAGGACCGGAGAGAGGAAGGAGGACCTGAGAGAGGAACGAAGAGAATTGGTGATCTTGTACTATGTACTCAATTCATGGCAAAAACAAAATAGATCTTACTCAGTCTTCATTCCTTTCAGATGGTGACCTTGAAAAACGCTTTCAACTTTTAACCACTTCCAGACCTGACACTTTTACCCCCTTCCTGACCAGGGCAATTTTCAGCTTTCAGCGCTATCACACTTTGAATGACAATTGCGCGGTCATGCAACACTGTACCCAAAATTAATTTTTTACAATTGTTTTGAGACAGATAAAGCTTTATTTTGGTGGTATTTATTCACCGCTGGGATTTTTATTTTTTTTGCTATGTAAATGAAAAAGTCCAAAAATTTTGAAAAAAAAGTGTTTTTTTTATAAAATTTTGCAAATAAATAATATTTCATCATAAATCTTTGCCAACATTTATTCTGTTATCTTTTTAGTAAAAAAAGACGTACCTGACCATAAGACGCACCTAGGTTTTAGAGGCAGAAAACAGGGGAAAAAAAATTCTGAACTAATGGACTGCAGACACAGTACAGGAGATGACCAGAGACTGCGGACAGCACAGGGATGACCAGAGACTGCGGACAGCACAGGGATGACCAGAGACTGCGGACAGCACAGGGATGACCAGAGACTGCGGACAGCACAGGGATGACCAGAGACTGCGGACAGTACAGATGACTGCTGACCTTTGGGGAGGTGGGGAGCGGGTACCTGAATTTGACAGGTACCCGCTCTTACTTCCGCAGAGTTTTGATTTGATCTTACTAGTTCCTCGATCCAGCCGCGCGCTGTCTTCCCGGCTTCTGTAATGGCGCTCGGCATGACAGCCGGGTGCCCAGTGTGCATGAGCGAGAAGCACTTGCGCTTTGTGACTGGTCCGGCGGCTTCTGGGATCTGTCATGTGTCCCAGGTACCGCTTCTTGCGCATGCGCACTTGGCACCCGGCTGTCATGCCCAGTGCCCACACTACAGAAGCCGGGAAGACAGCACGCCGCTGGATAGAGGAACAGGTAAGGTCCCGCTGCAGAGCTGAGCGGCCGGCCCGGTATTCTGACACGGCTGCAGTGGAAATACCGGACCGGCCGCTCCATATTCGCTCCATAAGACGCACTGACATTTCCCCCCCAGTTTTGGGGAAGAAAAAGTGCGTCTTATACGGCGAAAAATACGGTAGTTTATAACCAAAAATTATAATTTTTAATTTTTTTTTTTTACATTTTTATTTTATTTTTTTATTTATTTTTATTTTTTTACATACTGTCACCCTAGCAGTACAGTGTCACCATGGGGACACTGTACTACTTGTGGGGGGTGATGAAGATTTTTTTTTTTATACTAATTGCTTTTACACCCATATGGGATGTAAAAGCAATCATTTCTCTTTCTCTCTGTGTGCATTCTTGCACTCATTGAGAAGTACTGAGTGAGCTGTGATTGGTCACAGCTTGTCACATGGTACAAGGCTGTTGTGAATAGCCTTGTACCATGTGACCTCTGTGATCATTCACAGATTTCACACGTAGTAAGCAATGATGTCACAAGTGACATCTTGCTTACTACTTTGCATGTGATCGGGACCTCGTACAGAGGTCCCGTCCAACGATCGGCGTTTCACTGTGTCCGGAGGACACAGCGGGCACCGGATCGCGGTGCTGCGCGCTCCTAGGGAGCGTGCACAAGCAGAGTGCGGGGAGGCCGTTTATAAACGGCCACCCGACCCTGCACTGCCACTGTCCGGCCATTTATATGCAACAGCCGGTCGGGAAGTGGTTAACAAGCAAAGAAGGTCTCTGACTAAGGATTGTGAATATTGCATCTGATTGACCATCGATCATTGCTACTATACCAGTAGCATTCTGGCGAGTGCATAATGGTGGTAGAGTGCTCATTGGATCTCTTGGCACTGTTTTGGAGTTGGACACGTTGCTGTTTTGTGTCTTGCAATACCACTGACACATATATGGACTATATTTTGTTCCATTCTTTGTGACTTATACTAGCACCTATATTTTACACTGTATGGACTTTATTCATTTATTCACCAATGATTATGCTTTCTTTGCACTTATGTGTAAACTCTTGGATGTTTTACTATATGATATAGCTGCACTTTATATGCATAAATTAAGTCACTTTGTTTCAGTGCTCCCACAACCATTGAGGACTGAGGAGGATCTGTACCCATTTGAAAAATTGGTAAACGTAGCTACAGTTCCTAGACGAATTACCTCCAAGGTCTATAGGATTCTTATGGACATGGAGAGTGTTGATCCTCCTCGGTTCTTGGGAAAATAGGAACAGGAGCGTGGAACAAATTTGAATGAACAGCAAAGGAATAAAATATTCAAATTAACACATGGGTTGATGAACATGAGCACAGTAATGTCTGGTGGGATGGTATATCACACCGAGTAAGGCACATACACAACAAGTAGATGTTTCACCGTTGTGTTGGAGAGATTGTGGGGAAAAGGGAGCAACACATGTGGTGGGACTGCCCGAATATACAGGACTATTGGAAGGGAATAATACAACTCATTCAGGAAATATGTGGGATTACTGTCAGGGATCCAACCGCAGTAGCTTCTAGCACTCCACAGACTGGATTCCCCCAAGGTGTGGAATCTAAGCTCCGACCTGCTTGTTCACCAGATCCCCTGATGGTGGGGATGGACTTGGAGCAGGCTGAGACCAAGTTGCGGCACCTGGGTTCACCTAGCTGTGGTAGAAGCACCGTTGGAGTTGTATAGCAGGTGAGAGTCTGATGTGAGGAGGTAACAGAAGCAGCGTCGGACAGGCCGGGTCAGTAACAGTGGTGGCGGCGTAGTACAAAATCAGCAGGCAAACGGATAAACAGGTCACAAGCCGGGTTTGTTAACAGGAGGTCAGAACGTACAGGGTTAAGCAGGAGAATGGTCAGACAAGCCAGGGATCAGAGCAGGAGACGGACAGCAAATCAGGGTCAGGCAGGGTCGGCAACAAAACAATCTACAATCAGGAACTTCAGGAAAATAGGTAAGACCATAAGGCACTTGAGCATTGCAAGAGCGGGGTTTAAATAGCCCGCCCGACTCCTGACAGGCGCTCCTGGTTCCTAGTGCTTGCCCTGCGCCGTCATTGGTGACAGGCGCACCTGGGTCCTAGTGCCCTCCTGCCTGTACGTTTTGTCAGGATTCTACACATGTGCAGATTCGTTCGCCGCGGCGATCTTCCTATTCCCTGACATTGCCCCCCCCTTACGGGCAGCCTCCGGATGCCCACCCGATTCCTCCTTTGAAGCTGGTTACGTAGGAATTCCCGCATTAATCTGGGGGCATTGACGTTCTGGGCAGGTTCCCACGAGTTTTCCTCCAGCCCATAGCCTTTCCACTTGATTAAATATTGTACCTGACCACCCCTCCTCCTACAATCCAAAATTGCCTCCACCTCGAATTCTGCCTCCACCTTGAATTCTTCCTCCCCTTTGATATCTATGGCTTCTGGAGGTCTAGACCTGCGGTCTAAAAAGGGATCTGGAACTGCAGGTTTTAACAACGATACATGGAAGACTGGATGTATCTTGAGGGATTCAGGGAGAGCAAGTTTAAACGCCACTTCATTAATCTTGCGTTCCACTTGGAAGGGTCCCCACAAATTTGGGCGCCAATTTTCTGGACGGGCAAGTCAGTTTTAGGTTGACTGTTGATAACCAAACCCGATCCCCAGGGTGTATAACCATTCTCCCTTTCTCCTCCTGTCACAGAACCTTTTACTGTCTTCTTGGGCCTTAGCCATTGTTTCCTGTAATAGCTTGTTATTGGTAGTGAAGAATTCTAAGGTGTTCTGGGCTTCCGGGACTGAGTTCTCAGGAACCAGGTCTGGCAGGAAGGTAGGATGGAACCCATAATTAGCAAAGAATGGAGATTGGTTGGTGGCGGAATGATTCGCATTATTATATGCGAATTCCGCCATGGATAGAAGTGTCAGCCAGTCATCCTGCAGAAAAGATGTATAGCATCTCAGATATTGCTCAAGCGTCTGATTGGTTCACTCTGTCTGCCCGTTTGTCTGGGGGTGACATGCTGATGAGAAAGATAACTTAATCTCCAGCCCCTCACATAGCACTTTCCAGAATCTGGAAGTAAACTGCACTCCCCGGGCCAAGGCAATCTCTTTTGGCACTCCGTGAAGCCTCGCAATCTCTTTAATGAATACTTGGGCTGTTTCGGAGGTCGATGGTTTCTTGGCTAGTGGAAGAAAATGGGCCATTTTAGAAAGGCAGTCCACTACCACAAAGATCACGGTGTGATCTCGGGAGGGTGGCAATTCAACAATAAAATCTAAAGAGATCATACTCCAGGGTCGGTTAGGTATTGGTAAAGGTTTCAATAGGCCCCAGGACTTGTCTCTGGTGGGTTTATTTTGGTTACAGATGGGGCAAGATTTCACGTAGGCTTCACAGTCCTTGGCCATGTTTGGCCACCAAAATGTACGTAGTGTCAGATCTAAGGCAGTGATGCTTCAGGGTGGCTCAGAATGGGAGCTGTTGTGAACAGCTTTTTCAATGCCTCAAAAGCTGCCTGGGCAGCTGGAGTCCATTGAAAACGTACTCCTACCTTGGTGAGCTGGGTAATGGGCGCTACCAGGCCTGAAAAGTTCTTTATGAATTTTCTATAAAAATTGGCAAACCCAATGAATCTCTGCACTCCCTTCTTATCCGTGGGGGCAGGCCATTCCAGGATGGCCAAGATTTTTTTGTGGGTCCATACCGATCCCCGTGGTGGAGATTATTAGACCAAGAAATGAAATGCTTTCCTGCTCAAAGCAGTATTTCTCGGCTTTAGCATAGAGGCCATGCTGACGGAGACGTTCCAGTACACTCTTAACATGTCCCTGATGTGCTTCCAGAGATGAGGAAAATATCAAGATATCGTCCAAATAGACAATGACAAAAATATCCAGGAAATCCCTACAAAAAGGCATTGACAAAGTGCTGGAAGGTAGCTTGTGCATTACATAACCCAAAAGGCATGACTAGACACTCAAAATGTCAGAACCGAGTGTGGAACGCCGTTTTCTACTCGTCCCCCTCACGTATCCGAACCAAGTTATAGGCACCTCTGAGGTCCAACTTGGAAAAGATGGATGCCGTCCTAAACGTCTAAAACAACTCTGGGACCAAAGGAAGGGAGTAGCGGTTCTTGACCGTAATCTTATTAAGGTCCCTGTAGTCAACACAAGGTCTCAGGGACCGTCCTTCTCAACAAAGAAAATCCCTGCCCCGGCCGGTGATGTGGAAGGGCGGAAAATCCCTTCCGGAGGCTCTCGTCTATGTACTCTTTTAGTGCCCCTAGTTCCCGTTCAGATAGTGGGAAAATGCGGCCGAAAGGGATCTCGGAGCCTGGGAGCAGATCGATGGGGCAATCATATGCCTGATGTGGGGGAAGAACCTCTGCCCCCCGTGGACTAAACACATCCAGGAATTGGTGGTAGGCCGCAGGCACCATTTGAGCTAACTCGGCCTCAGGGCTTACAGCAAATAAGGCCGGTGTATCTAGTGATGCCCTAGGTAGACAATGTTCCTGACAGTATCGTAAGTGGAACTGGACTGACCCGGTCTTCCAGTCAATTTGGGGGTCGTGAGTTCGTAGCCAAGAGAGCCCCAGAATAACTGGAAATAGGCTCGAATAGAAGCTCCTGGTGATATCCCGCCACCATGGTGTGTATAGGAGGGGTCTCCCGATCTACCGTCCCCGATTTTATTTGAGACCCATCCACCAGGAAAATATTCACCCCATGTTCTTTGGCAAGGAACGGTATCTGATGCTGGGTAGCGAAATCGAGATCGACAAAGCAACTATAGGCCCTGGAGTCAATAATAGCCATCACCTGTATGCTTCCTCCGGGGAGCTGAAAAGACACAGGTACAGTCAAGTGAGTGGGGTTGTCTGCGCACACAGTAGATATATTAGAAGAAATAGAGGAGTTACAGTATTTCTCCGGACAGGAACGCACCATATGACCCGCTGCTCCGCAGTACAGACACAGGTTATTTGCCCGACGCCTCTGTCGTTCCTCGGTAGAAAGAGTAGGCCGCATCAAGCCGAGTTGCATAGTCTGACAATTATGGTCCAGAGAGATCCATGGATGTGTTTGTTTTATAAACTCAAGCCTTCAATAAACTTGTTTAGTAATAAGGTACTGTATCATTTAGTCAGTGCAGCTAAGGGCTTGATCCCCAAATCTTGGCAAGTTCCAGAGCCACCAAGAGTAAAAGATTGGATAAATAGAGTGGAAAACATCTATAGGATGGAGGAGTTATATCATATCGAGGTGGATAAATTAGATAAATTTAGGAAAACATGGAGTAGTTGGTTAAATTTTAAAACATCTAAAAAATATCTGGAGTTAGTTGTAGTCTAGGTGGAATACATTAGAGGAAGTCTAACGGAGATCCGAGAGAAAGAAAGGATGGAGGGGTATAGATATGGATAGAGAATCGCGAGGGAAGGTAAAACGGAAGTAAGAGGATGTAGACAGGGGTATGAGGAAGGTGTGAGGGTGGGGAAGAGGAAAAAATGTGTTGCAACGGGAACTTATGTATTGATGATATTCTCGTGATTTGTATCTCTGTCCTATTTTTTATGTAATAGATGTTCTTCTTTGTACCAGAAAAAATGAATAAACAAATAATAATAATTAAAACATTATATATATATATATATATATATTACACACACAGTATATATACTGTATATATAAAATTTTTACTTTTTTTCTAATATTTACATATGATCTTTAATATGATATTTATAACAGAACAGATTTAACATGGATTTAGGGATTAGATTAATTAGATATAAAATCAGGATTTAGATATTTTTGAATACATTATATCCATTTAATTTAGAAAAATATATTTATTCATTTCTATATACTGTATACATATATAGAAAGTAAAATATACTTAATATATTTAATAAATATTAATAAAGATATAAATATCACATTTTGGGGTTATATACTTAAAATTTGTATATATATATTGTGACAGTGTGGCGATCTGTCACCCTGGATTCTCAACAAGGCAGGTTGAGGGGCTCCAGGGTAAAGGTTTGATATGGAGGAAAGTGGTTTTTCACTTTCCTCCTTTGTTTGTAAGGTCCATTTTGGGAGCTGGAGCCTGGAGATTTCAAAGTGATTTGGGAGGGATGAAATCTCCAATCCTGGGACCAGGTTTTGGGATAGGCCAGGAGACTGATTGCACAGGTGTGTGCAGGCCTTTAGAGAGAGCCAGGACCAGGGTTCTGGGCTCCACCCCGGCAGCTAGGAGTCAGCAGGGCTCCACCCCGGCAGCTAGGAGTCAGCAGGGCTCCACCCCGGCAGCTAGGAGTCAGGAGGGCTCCACTTGGAAGACGGGAGGTCACTGCCTGGGAGTCAGGAGAGCTCCACCGAGGAGAGGTGGGAGCCAGAGCAGCAAGAGGCTGCTAGCTGTGTGCTAAAAGCCATTTTGGAAGGAGTCTGTAGGAGACAGCTGTGAGCCTAAAGTGAAAGGCCAGAGAAGCAGAAATCTGTGTTTAAGGCCTTTAAAAAAGAATAAAGCGAGTGGCTGTGTGCTGGAAAAACTCTACCATTTGATGCTAGTTCTCACAATATATATATATATATATATATATATATATATATATATAAATTTTAAGTACCGTATTTTTCCGCACCATAAGACGCACTTTTTTCCCCCCAAAAAAGGGGGGAAAATGTCAGTGCATCTTATGGAGCGAATATGGAGCGGCCGGTCGGTATTTCCACTGCCGCCGTGTCAGAATACCGGGCCGGCCGCTCAGCTCTACAGCGGGACCTTATAGAGATGACTGCTGACCTTTGGGGAGGGAGGGGGAGCGGGTACCTGAATTTGACAGATACCCGCTCCCACTTCCGTGGAGTTGTTCTTTCATCTTACCCGTTCCTCTATCCAGCGGAGCGGTCTTCCCGGCTTCTGTAGTGTGGGCATGACAGCCGGGTGCCAAGTGCGCATGCGCAGGAAGCGGTGCTTTTTGTGAATGGTAAGGCGGCACCTGGGTCACATGACAGATCCCAGAAGCCGCCGGACCAATCACAAAGCGCAAGTGCTTCTCGCTCATGCGCACTGGGCACCCGGCTGTCATGCCGAGCGCCATTACAGAAGCCGGGAAAACAGCGCGCGGGTGGATAGAGGAACAGGTAAGATGAAAGAACAACTCCGCGGAAGTGGGAGCGGGTATCTGTCAAATTCAGGTACCCGCTCCCCCCCCTCCCCAAAGGTCAGCAGTCATCTCCTGTACTATCCACAGTCTCTGGTCATCCCTGTGCTGTCCGCAGTCTCTGGTCATCCCTGTGTTGTCCGCAGTCTCTGGTCATCTCCTGTACTGTGTCCGCAGTCTCTGGTCATCTCCTGTACTATGTCTGCAGTCCATTAGTTCAGAATTTTTTTTTCCTGTTTTCTGCCTCTAAAACCTAGGTGTGTCTTATGGTCAGGTGCGTCTTATGGAGCGAAAAATACGGTATATAGTGTCTGAACAGATCAATATCTTTGATCAGATCAGTACTATACCAGCGTTCACATTAGTATAGTGTCCCCAAAAGCACAGCGTTAGTAGGATCAACCCCGGAACCTGCCAGCACCTGTGTTTAGGACCTATGCTTACCCCCCCCTTTCTCCCCCAGCAAGTGCAGTGTCAGTAGGTCACTGTCACTTGATATATTGCACACAAAACCACAGTGTTTGCAGAATCAGGCCTGAGCTCTGCTAGCACTTGCCGGTAAATTGTGATGACTCTCATATGCAGAGTGCCAGTACTAGTGCCGCACTACCTTTTGGTGAACTGGTGAGCACTAGCGGCCTAGTACATCCTGATATTTCACATACCAGCACTGCAGTATCACTTGGTGACGTGGCAAGTCCCATAAGTGCAGTACAAGCTGGTGCAGTGGCGAGCACAAGTATTGTCCTGCAACCACCAAGAATTCACACACATGCCCATAGAGCCCCTAGTATCCTTCCAGATGTGCTTGCAAATCCTGATTGGCAGCACACAAATTTAGCAGCACCCATACTTCCCCCACTCACTGCCCAACACAGAATTCAGGTGGAAACAGCAAATTTAACCACTCCCCTTTTTTTGGAGCTGTTTTTCATGATAGATCTGTATGCATTGATTTTGGATCAAAACAATTTATATGCACAACAATTTATCGCTGACAACCCTAGTTCAAATTTTGCCAAGCCAATCACATGGGAACCCATTACGGTTTCGAAATTTAAATTTTTTTGGGGCCTCAACCTGGGCATTACTAAAAAAAAAAAAAAAGAATTGCGGTTGTATTGGTCCACAGACACGATTCATCATATGCCCGTGTTCTCTGCTGCCATGGCCAGGTATAGATATGAGAGTATAATGTGTTTTATGCATTTCAAGGACAACACACTCTGTCATCCTCGGGGTAACCTTGAATTTGACCGGCTCCACAAAATTCAGCCCCTCGCAAATCACCTTAACCTAAAATTTGCAGATGTCTATACTCCCCAGCAAAACATCTGCGTTGATGAGTCCCTCATTAATTTTTCTGGCTGCCTTGCATTCAAACAATTTCTCCCCTGCAAGCGTGTCAGATATGGGGTCAAGATGTAGAAGACCTGTGAGAGGACAACAGGCTATACATATAAGTTTTGGATTTATGAGGGAAAAAGATAGTTACGTGGAGCCCCCCAAATGCCCAGAGCAGTGGCAAGATAGTTTGGGACTTGGTGTCATCCTTTTTCCATATGGGGTACCACTTATACGTGGACAATTTTTATTCAAGCGTGCCACTATTTAGACATTTGTACAATTTGGAATTGGCGCACGTGGCACCATGCGACCTAATGTGTGCCCACCATTAGAAGTGGGTGGATCCAGGGGGGTATATTCTAATGGTGGGCATACCACACACTTTTTCTGGCAGGTATTTCTTCTCTTTTTTTTATTCAGCCCACAGACTGCATACAAAAAGAAAAAAAGAACATAGCATATATACCCAACAAGGACCAGCGACGTACTGGTACATCACTGGACTTTGAACGGTTATACCAGGATGATGTCTACAGCTGCAGGCATCATCCTAGTATCATTTTTTTCAGCCGGTGATCGGCTTTCATGTAAAAAAAATTCTAGTTGGTAATTAACTGCAGGATTGCTTTTACAAGCAGCGGGAGATGATTGGAGACCAATATTAGTGCCAATAATCTCTATAGTCTAAGAAATCAGAAGCTACGAGCATTTCAACACTTCAGTTTTGCAGGATATAAACAGCGCCATTTGTAAATTGGGAAAGCATCTGATCACACCGATCTTGGTGAAGTTGTAGGGGTATTTGCATTCCCTGTGATAGCATTAAAATAGCGATAAAAAAAATGAAAGAGACCGTGTACAAATAATTAAAAAAAATCAAAATAATGGTAAAAAAACCGCACCCTCGCCCACCCGCGTGCACGTGTGTTGACCCTTTGCCGGTATGTAAACAGCGATTGCACCATGCATGTGAGGTATCGTCGCGAACGTCAGATCAAGGGGAGTAATTCTAGCACTAGACCAACTCTGTAGATCTAAAAAAGTAGCTTGCATAGGCTTTGAAAGCGTTGCCTATGGATATTAAAAATGTATGTAGTTTTTTGCCATTGCACAGGGCATGTGCAGCTTTAAAGCATATCATTTTGGCAGTCTAGCCAAGTACAAGACCCCAAAATCCAATATGCACCTTTGGGCTTTTAAAGGGCTTTATTTCCTCATTAAAAATACTCACCATGTCTCTTTTCAAATTCCTTGGAGTGTCTACTTTCCAAAAAGGGGTCATTTGTGGGGGTTTGGTGCTATCCTGTCAGGAAGTGTAATAAGGAAGTAAAGCCCTTTAAAAGCCTGAAGGTGCTTATTGGATTTTGGGGTCCGTACTTGGCTAGACTGCCAAAAAGTCTCTCACATGTGGGGGGTTTAGTGCTATCCTGGCATTTCAGGGTCTCTGTGATAGGTAGTGAGGAAGTGAAATAAGGAAGTTATGTACCTTCAGGCTTTCAAAGTGGTCATTGGATTTCAGGCTCCTGTATGTGGCTAGGCTCCCAAAAAGTCTCACATGTGGTATCCTCATACTCAGTGGAATTAGCTGAATGTATTTTGGGTGTAATTCCACATATACCCATGGCTTTTGTGAGAAATATACAAATATACAATTTAAATGACAACTTTGTGTAAAAAAAATGTTTTGTCATATTCCAAAAACTTGTGGAAAAAAATAAAATCTTCCATGGACTCAATATGCCTCTCAGCAGAAAGTTTAGGGTGTCTACTTTGTTAGCACACCAAGAAATGTGATGGGCAGTCAGAAAGAAAATGCTGTGTAAATTCCATTATCTGCAGTATACCATAATTTGTAGATGCTAGAACTTTCACTCGAAGCAATCATTATACTCTTATTGGGATTTTTTTTACCAAAAATATATAGCAGAATACATTTTGGCCTAAATTTATGATGAAATTTGAGTTTTTTGGATATTTTTTATGACAGAAATGAGAAAATATTGTTTTTTTTTTTTACATTTTTTTGTTTATAGTGCCAAAAATAAAAAAGCGCACAGGTGATAAAATACCACCAAAAGAAAGCTCTATTTGTGCAAAAAAAAGGACGTAATTTTTGTTTATGTACCATATTGCATGACCGTGCAATTGTCAGTTAAACTAATGCAGCGCTGTATAGGTAAAAAATGGCGCATATTGCAGTATCTATACTATAGTTTGTAGACTCTATAACTTTCACACAAAGCAATCAATATACCCTTTGGGATTTTTTTTTACAAAAACATGTAGCAGAATACATTTTGGCCTAAATTGATGACTACGTTTGAGTTTACTATATATTTTTTATAGACGAAAGTAAAAAATATCTTTTTTCTTCAAAATTTTTGGTCTTTTTTTGTTTATAGCGTGAAAAATAAAAAGCGCACAGGTGTTCAAATACCACCAAAAGTAAGTTCTATTTGTGTGAAAAAAAGGATGTAAATTTTGTTTGGATACAGCATTGCATGACCACGCAATTATCAGTTGAAATAGTGCAGCGCCAAATAGCATAAGAGGAATGGTCATTAAGGGAGGTAAATCCTCAGGATGGCAAGTGGTTAATAGAGATTCCAATAATAATAATGTACTGTAGCCAGGTTATTGGCTGGAGACAGAGAGTGATTTAGGACACGTGGAAGTGCTTTCCATGTTCCCACTAGACTTCAGGTTGAATAGGTTAACCATACCTGGCCTCCACCCACGAGGGGGAGTTGACAAGCAGAAGGAGCTCAAGAGACTAGAATACTGGCCACATTGAACTGTGGGAGATGTAGTTCAGAAGAGGAGTCTCTTCTCCTGTGGAAGTCAATGCACTATTGGACTACAGTTCCCAAGAAGAGACTGTTCTGAGGAAGAGAAATGTCAGTATTTTCCCAGGCTATAGATTGAGCAGCACCTTTTGCTGCAAGAGGATGGGATTGTGCACATCACTATTCCTTATTGCAAACCAACTTGCTATAAGCATGTAGCCTGAGATAGAAACCAGAGCACTGTTATCCTGTGTCTTGATAACAGGAGTCACTACAGGCAGCTCCAGAAGTAAGCTGACATCTGAACAGTAGGACCAAAGTTGTTATGTCGCTGGGACTCGTGAGATGGCATTGCTTCCATTAACCTGTTGTTGCTGGCAGAGTCAGAACACATAGGGGCTGGCCATCTAACGAACAGCCATATTCACTGCTGCAGACATTATTGGGACTGTTCCCATGTGCATCATGTAATGCATTGGGGAAATGTGGTGCTTTTGATTTTGTATAATGGTCAGCAATATGAATTATGGATTATGAATGAAGTGGGCTGTCAGGGATCCCCTTGATCCCCGCCGCGATGGTCCCGGCGCAGGCGCACTGCACCGCCCTGTGCGGGGACACGGGCACTAGTTCTGGGCCGGCCGCGGCGTTCAAGTTCACGCATGCGCAGTAGAAGCCGCGGCCGCCCGCTGGGCACCAATGGCAGCGCAGGGCGGGATATTTAAATGTCCCTGTGCT